GGTGATTGTGCTGGTGATCATGATCGCATTCCCATGCAACTTAGTATGGCCTGAACTGGTAAACTGCATGCATAACAAGGAGTTAATCAAGTAATCCAACTTTTACTTTAGTCCACTAATGTAAATTCGCTACCGAATAATACTACTTTAACAAATAAACACTCAGGTTTCTTAGATCAAATCAAATCCATAATTGCGAAGTCTATCGATTTTAAGATGTAGTTTATTCAAACATTTGGTAATTTAACACTAGAGTAGTATTATTTATCCTAATTATTACACCTACAGAAAAAGCCGTAAAATGAAACTAGTTCAGAGGTCAAGGGTAAATTAGAAAAAATGAAACTAATTTGAGCTTTTGGTCATTGGAGAAGGATACTATTCAATGTCATACCTGATTATAAGCAAGTGCCATGGAAACAGCACCACGCATAAGACCAGCCCACCAAATGGTAACCTGCAAAACAGAAATCCATAAAGGCGTCACATCATGTTATTAAGGGATAGTGGAACAATAAAGTTAAGAGTGGATCAAAACTCTTACTTGTTGCTTCAAGCCAATTTTCTCGTATGGAGATTTCTTGGTCAAGTTGGATAAAAAGGACAAGGGGAAAACGAAAGCCGCTCTCCCAACAAGTACCAGTCCCAACAGTACTGCACTTACGCCAAGAGATTTTCCAGGGCTGTGAAGGAAAATAGAAAAGAAAAAAGTATTATCCCACGTTCAGTTAAAGATAAAATATTGATCAGCACATTCTAAGTTATTTCATACGTTCTACAGAAGCGTCAAAGCTACTAAGTTTCTTTTATGTGTAACCTCACCTATCACTTACAACCCTCCACTTCTCAATGTCCAAGGCATCCATGCCAACATAAAGGAAGATAAAGATCTCTGCAACAAATGACAGAGTGGCAAAAGCATGCCTGCAATAGTGGTAAGGAGCAATGAGATATTATAAACATGGCAGCTTCCCTGACATTCCCTTGTAACAAAACAGCAACGAACCTATACATTCCAATTGTTAATTACAAGACTTGAGATTTACATACTTGGTTGTTACTCTTGAACTTTCAGTCACATTATGCCATGTGTAGTGTGACATAACAATCCCACAAAAAAATACAGTGAGAATGCCACTTAAATAGAATAACTGCAAGTCAAAACCAAATTACCATCACTATTATATTTTCAAACTGCAAAACCAGAAATAGAACCAGGAAAGCATAAAAAGATAAGTGTCCAACAAGTTGCTAAAAATCTTACTTCGGCCAGCATATATGAAAGGTAAGCCATGAGTATCATCAGAGCAACCTCACGATCGGTAGAGTGCCTGGTGTTTATTAGAAAATAAAAGGCATTAAAACACTTCCTAAAAATAACATAAGGTTCACATGTAAACTTGATATATTGATTTTCTACACATGTAATGTTGACATAAAATAACTATAAGGAACCATTAGAAGAAGAAAAGAAGTAGGTAAAATGACAAAGATGATGGAAATAGAGGAACATATATCCTATTCAATTGTATTTTTTTTTCAATTAATTGCCAAGAAATAATACTCAGACACTCAAGTGGGAATGAACCTAGGACCTCAGACTCCATCATCTCTTATAAGGAAAGAAGAAGTCAGGATGACTGATGGCAAGGAGATATCATTTACACATAAATAATTTGATTGGCAAATAATCTGTTCTACATTTTTGGATCCATTTAACAGTGATTAGGTACCTCAATGTTCCCTAAACAAAGACATTGCAAAAGACCAATATGACACCTATGTACAAACCTGCCCATATACAGTTTTTTGATAATGAATGCACTAAGCAGTCCAGCCTGCATGACACAAAGAAAAAAGTCCTACAAATAAATATACTAAATCACAAGCAAGCACGAACAAACGAAAGTGTAGGGACTTACCAGAACCCCCAGCATTGTACTTGCAATAAATAAATACAAAAAATTTCCAACAAATTGCAAAGCTATGCTTGAGTTGATGTGAGAGAGGTCAAAGCTCTGGATTGCATTGAAAAGAACTACAGATGTGGCATCATTTACCACACCTTCCCCGAACACCAGACTATACAATAAAGGCGTCTCATCCTGATTCAGAACCTGCACCATATAGATAATTGAACTTAGCAGTGTTATTCAGCTTAAGTTGCAACATGACAACACTTTGCATGGCACTATACCTGCAAGGTACAAACTGAATCTGTAGCAGCAAATATTGCTCCAATTGCTGCAATTAAGGGACAAGATGAGTAAACAAGAAGGATTTTATCCAAATATTGCAAGACAAAAGAAGTGTTATATATATAAATTGGAATTGACTATACCAAGATAATCTCCTATTTTGAGGGTACCAATGTTCATTTTCTTGAAAAAGTGTATAGCACCTGGGTCAAAATATGGAAGAACGCATTAACAAATAAGCTTTAGTGAAAATAACTCTAAAACAATGAACATTGATATATGGCATGCATTCATATTTATAAGGATCTTTGATGCAATGGTTTCCTTCTTCATTTATAAACATCAATAAAGAATGGAGAACAAAAGAAATCATTGAGTTCCTTCATCTGTGAATAGCTCGTATGAGTGCTGTACAAATCAATTCTCTGCCCTTTGAAGTTGGAGTTTTGAAAAAAAAACGTGACAAAACTCATTTAGTTGTCAAGAAACCAGTGAACAAAAGTGAGGGGCCATTTTATATAGTTCTGTAGTTTAATAAAGAAAAAAAGAAAAAGTGTATCAAGCCTACTGGATCCCTTTTATTATATCAAAATGCACAGGCTGCAATAACGAATTGCCAATAATCACTTGGTGGAATTTTCATGCATGGTCAATCCATATAAATAGAGCTACAAGATAGTTTTGATAAAGCGTGATTGGTGAGCCAGACTTCTTTTAATTTCTGCACACAAGCAAAGAAACAAAATAGATGAATCCATCAAGTTTTTGAGCATACCTAATGATATGATTACAAAAGATATAAGAGTGCCAACTGCCCCAAATAGCATGATGGTCATAAAGTTGCGAAAAAATTGCTTCTTCTTCACCTGGAACCTGGTATGCAGAGAAGGATCAACCATCATCACTGACTTATGTATTTGACCAATAAACAAATTTTGGTTGTTTCACTAATATATTGTCAACCGAAAACATAATGCGTCGGTAGCAGCAGAAAAATGGAGATGAAAAGTAAATTACCCTAGGGCTCTTATTTTCAATGGAAAATGGCACAAACTAATTTATGTTTCAATTGGCTTCCACGGCATTGAAACTCAATTACATTGTTCTGTGGTAGATAAACCAAATGTTTAGATAAATCTATTTTTTTCTTTACTAGTTCAAACCAGATAGTTCCTTCTATTACAACTGTTTATTGAGCTTTCACGTGATCTAATAAAATTGAAGTATAGTAAGAACCTCCGTTTTTTTATTAAGAAAACTTTATTCTAAGATAGTAATCTAGCAGCACCCTTGATGTCTGTTTAGATAATAGCTATTATGTGACACACAGTTATATAAGAAGACATGTCAAACTGAAAAATCATCAGTAAAATCCAGCTTAATGAAAAAATTAAGGTAGATGTGGGTAATTAAGATGTTATCTCCAAATTAAAACAAGTGTAACTGACAAGGAGAAACGAAGTGGCATTATGTATTACCCAACTCACCCTGCATTAAATATAATAGGTGGAAGAAGATAAATGAAGAACAAATCTTCACTAAACACCATGAGATGCGAACTCTTTCCTTTAGTTGTCAGCAAAATAACAACACCGGTACCCAAACCCTGCCACAAGCTCATCAAAGTCAAGTTCAATTTCACCATTTCAATCTCCTTAAGAATATTTTATTGTAAAATATATAGAAACTCACAATAGCTAGAGCCGTGATTGACTCGTTCATCCAGCGATTTTCCTCCAGTAAATGACCGATCACAATACATGCGCAAAGAAGTGCAACGAACAAGTTCATTGACACCACTGATTTGTGATCAGACGTATAAATTGCTAACGATCTCTCCATCAGAGAACCTAAGTCTATCGCCATCTAGAAGTAACAAACTCAAAAAATTGATCCAAGAAATTACAATACTGAATAGCAAAGATCAAACGTTAATTCTCTCTTCAAGCCTTTAGAAAACTTGTGTCATTCACATACAAAGCAGTCCCTGCAAAACGCATATATGCAAAGTGAGTTTCATTTCATATCAGTTCACTGATCACCTAAAGAGCTTATTTTTCATGTTTGGTTGCCGAGAAAATTCAAAGCGAGCGAAAGAAAATAGAAATGAAAATTTCAAAAGGTCCATTGCCTGGTAAAAGACAAAAAAATAGAGAAAGCAAGATTTGAGGTATAAACAAATACGAAAAAAGAACTCCAAACAGACAAAAAAAAAAAAAAAAGCAAAGATGATGGAAATAGAGGAACATATATCCTATCAATTGTTATTTTTTTTCAATTAATTGCCAAGAAATAATACTCAGACACTCAAGTGGGAATGAACCTAGGCCTCAGACCATCATCTCTTATAAGGAAAGAAGAAGTCAGGATGACTGATGGCAAGGAGATATCATTTACACATAAATAATTGATTGGCAAATAACTGTTCTACATTTTTGGATCCATTTAACAGTGATTAGGGTACCTCAATGTTCCCTAACAAAGACATTGCAAAAAGACCATATGACACCTTGTACAAAACCTGCCCATATACAGTTTTTGATAATGAATGCACTAAGCAGTCCAGCCTGCATGACACAAAGAAAAAAGTCTACAAATAAATATACTAAATCACAAGCAAGCACGAACAAATGAAAGGGGTACGGAGACAGTGGGATACCTCAGCCATCAATAGAAAACAAGTCTTTTGTTGTGCAAAAGGCCTTTCAATTGTGATGTTCTAACACCAGGAATGTGGCTTCATTGTATGTGATATGTGATGTATAAACTTGCTGAGGTTTGCATGTAAAAACTAAAAAGAACTGATCTCTCAATTGAAAAATTAGAGATTAGCTAAGTTGTTGCAGTCGATTTTGCGGATTCAGGCAACTCCATGAAAACAACTATCATGATAAAGCTACTTTAGGCATTTGAGAAATCACTGGATAATCAAAATTCATATACTATTGGATTACAATCAATACAAAAATTAGTAGGAACCTTACTGTTAGGAATACAATCTCGTTGGCAACCAATATAGACCGCAAAACTTGAGAATCACCCCACAATCAAATCAAATTGCAAGCTGCTGCTGCCGCTGCTGCCACACCCAATCAAAATGCTGTCAAAACCCCGCCTCCAAAATCCTTTTACTATTAACAAAATGGCACACTCAAAGCCGCTCACTCTCAAGCCCAAGCTACAAGTTACTATAAATTAGTGCCTTTGTTGTTTGAATTCCCTTCTCACTGCCATTGATTAACAGTTTGTTCAAGCGGTGAGCCAGGAACTATAGGTACAAAGCCTCGGCCACCAAACACCGGCCGCATGAAGGAATTGTCGAATTTCCGCCAATAGTGATGAACAGTGTGAGACGGGGTGCTCAAGAGCATCCGTAAGCTAGTTGGACGAGGCACATTTTCGTTTTTGTGGTTGGCTTCTGAGTCGTGTCTGTTCCCAAGAAGTGGCACAATGAAGGATTTTGGAGTACATGGCTCAGAAGACTCCATCCTGGATAAGGTTTTTGAGGAAGGAAGCAAAATCCTCACCAGTGGTTTAGTCATCAACCCAAACACCTGCATAAATGCGACAATAAAAGTTTAATGGCCTCTTACTGTAGGCTGTAGGCTTCCTTTCGTGTTTTAGGATGAGACAATGACTTACAACTGTGCTGAAAAGAACAACGGTGATTGTGCTGGTGATCATGATCGCATTCCCATGCAACTTAGTATGGCCTGAACTGGTAAACTGCATGCATAACAAGGAGTTAATCAAATAATCCGACTGTTTCTTTCGTCCACTAATGTAAATTCGCTACCAAATAATACGACTTTAACACATAATAACTCAGGTTTCTTAGATCAAATCAAATCCATAATTGCGAAGTCTATCGATTTTAAGATGTAGTTTATTCAAACATTTGGTAATTTAACACTAGAGTAGTATTATTTATCCTAATTATTACACCTACAGAAAAAGCCGTAAAATGAAACTAGTTCAGAGGTCAAGGGTAAATTAGAAAAAATGAAACTAATTTAAGATTTTGGTCATTGGAGAAGGATACTATTCAATGTCATACCTGATTATAAGCAAGTGCCATGGAAACAGCACCACGCATAAGACCAGCCCACCAAATGGTAACCTGCAAAACAGAAATCCATAAAGGCGTCACATCATGTTATTAAGGGATAGTGGAACAATAAAGTTAAGAGTGGATCAAAACTCTTACTTGTTGCTTCAAGCCAATTTTCTCGTATGGAGATTTCTTGGTCAAGTTGGATAAAAAGGACAAGGGGAAAACGAAAGCCGCTCTCCCAACAAGTACCAGTCCCAACAGTACTGCACTTACGCCAAGAGATTTTCCAGGGCTGTGAAGGAAAATAGAAAAGAAAAAAGTATTATCCCACGTTCAGTTAAAGATAAAATATTGATCAGCACATTCTAAGTTATTTCATACGTTCTACAGAAGCGTCAAAGCTACTAAGTTTCTTTTATGTGTAACCTCACCTATCACTTACAACCCTCCACTTCTCAATGTCCAAGGCATCCATGCCAACATAAAGGAAGATAAAGATCTCTGCAACAAATGACAGAGTGGCAAAAGCATGCCTGCAATAGTGGTAAGGAGCAATGAGATATTATAAACATGGCAGCTTCCCTGACATTCCCTTGTAACAAAACAGCAACGAACCTATACATTCCAATTGTTAATTACAAGACTTGAGATTTACATACTTGGTTGTTACTCTTGAACTTTCAGTCACATTATGCCATGTGTAGTGTGACATAACAATCCCACAAAAAAATACAGTGAGAATGCCACTTAAATAGAATAACTGCAAGTCAAAACCAAATTACCATCACTATTATATTTTCAAACTGCAAAACCAGAAATAGAACCAGGAAAGCATAAAAAGATAAGTGTCCAACAAGTTGCTAAAAATCTTACTTCGGCCAGCATATATGAAAGGTAAGCCATGAGTATCATCAGAGCAACCTCACGATCGGTAGAGTGCCTGGTGTTTATTAGAAAATAAAAGGCATTAAAACACTTCCTAAAAATAACATAAGGTTCACATGTAAACTTGATATATTGATTTTCTACACATGTAATGTTGACATAAAATAACTATAAGGAACCATTAGAAGAAGAAAAGAAGTAGGTAAAATGACAAAGATGATGGAAATAGAGGAACATATATCCTATTCAATTGTATTTTTTTTTCAATTAATTGCCAAGAAATAATACTCAGACACTCAAGTGGGAATGAACCTAGGACCTCAGACTCCATCATCTCTTATAAGGAAAGAAGAAGTCAGGATGACTGATGGCAAGGAGATATCATTTACACATAAATAATTTGATTGGCAAATAATCTGTTCTACATTTTTGGATCCATTTAACAGTGATTAGGTACCTCAATGTTCCCTAAACAAAGACATTGCAAAAGACCAATATGACACCTATGTACAAACCTGCCCATATACAGTTTTTTGATAATGAATGCACTAAGCAGTCCAGCCTGCATGACACAAAGAAAAAAGTCCTACAAATAAATATACTAAATCACAAGCAAGCACGAACAAACGAAAGTGTAGGGACTTACCAGAACCCCCAGCATTGTACTTGCAATAAATAAATACAAAAAATTTCCAACAAATTGCAAAGCTATGCTTGAGTTGATGTGAGAGAGGTCAAAGCTCTGGATTGCATTGAAAAGAACTACAGATGTGGCATCATTTACCACACCTTCCCCGAACACCAGACTATACAATAAAGGCGTCTCATCCTGATTCAGAACCTGCACCATATAGATAATTGAACTTAGCAGTGTTATTCAGCTTAAGTTGCAACATGACAACACTTTGCATGGCACTATACCTGCAAGGTACAAACTGAATCTGTAGCAGCAAATATTGCTCCAATTGCTGCAATTAAGGGACAAGATGAGTAAACAAGAAGGATTTTATCCAAATATTGCAAGACAAAAGAAGTGTTATATATATAAATTGGAATTGACTATACCAAGATAATCTCCTATTTTGAGGGTACCAATGTTCATTTTCTTGAAAAAGTGTATAGCACCTGGGTCAAAATATGGAAGAACGCATTAACAAATAAGCTTTAGTGAAAATAACTCTAAAACAATGAACATTGATATATGGCATGCATTCATATTTATAAGGATCTTTGATGCAATGGTTTCCTTCTTCATTTATAAACATCAATAAAGAATGGAGAACAAAAGAAATCATTGAGTTCCTTCATCTGTGAATAGCTCGTATGAGTGCTGTACAAATCAATTCTCTGCCCTTTGAAGTTGGAGTTTTGAAAAAAAAACGTGACAAAACTCATTTAGTTGTCAAGAAACCAGTGAACAAAAGTGAGGGGCCATTTTATATAGTTCTGTAGTTTAATAAAGAAAAAAAGAAAAAGTGTATCAAGCCTACTGGATCCCTTTTATTATATCAAAATGCACAGGCTGCAATAACGAATTGCCAATAATCACTTGGTGGAATTTTCATGCATGGTCAATCCATATAAATAGAGCTACAAGATAGTTTTGATAAAGCGTGATTGGTGAGCCAGACTTCTTTTAATTTCTGCACACAAGCAAAGAAACAAAATAGATGAATCCATCAAGTTTTTGAGCATACCTAATGATATGATTACAAAAGATATAAGAGTGCCAACTGCCCCAAATAGCATGATGGTCATAAAGTTGCGAAAAAATTGCTTCTTCTTCACCTGGAACCTGGTATGCAGAGAAGGATCAACCATCATCACTGACTTATGTATTTGACCAATAAACAAATTTTGGTTGTTTCACTAATATATTGTCAACCGAAAACATAATGCGTCGGTAGCAGCAGAAAAATGGAGATGAAAAGTAAATTACCCTAGGGCTCTTATTTTCAATGGAAAATGGCACAAACTAATTTATGTTTCAATTGGCTTCCACGGCATTGAAACTCAATTACATTGTTCTGTGGTAGATAAACCAAATGTTTAGATAAATCTATTTTTTTCTTTACTAGTTCAAACCAGATAGTTCCTTCTATTACAACTGTTTATTGAGCTTTCACGTGATCTAATAAAATTGAAGTATAGTAAGAACCTCCGTTTTTTTATTAAGAAAACTTTATTCTAAGATAGTAATCTAGCAGCACCCTTGATGTCTGTTTAGATAATAGCTATTATGTGACACACAGTTATATAAGAAGACATGTCAAACTGAAAAATCATCAGTAAAATCCAGCTTAATGAAAAAATTAAGGTAGATGTGGGTAATTAAGATGTTATCTCCAAATTAAAACAAGTGTAACTGACAAGGAGAAACGAAGTGGCATTATGTATTACCCAACTCACCCTGCATTAAATATAATAGGTGGAAGAAGATAAATGAAGAACAAATCTTCACTAAACACCATGAGATGCGAACTCTTTCCTTTAGTTGTCAGCAAAATAACAACACCGGTACCCAAACCCTGCCACAAGCTCATCAAAGTCAAGTTCAATTTCACCATTTCAATCTCCTTAAGAATATTTTATTGTAAAATATATAGAAACTCACAATAGCTAGAGCCGTGATTGACTCGTTCATCCAGCGATTTTCCTCCAGTAAATGACCGATCACAATACATGCGCAAAGAAGTGCAACGAACAAGTTCATTGACACCACTGATTTGTGATCAGACGTATAAATTGCTAACGATCTCTCCATCAGAGAACCTAAGTCTATCGCCATCTAGAAGTAACAAACTCAAAAAATTGATCCAAGAAATTACAATACTGAATAGCAAAGATCAAACGTTAATTCTCTCTTCAAGCCTTTAGAAAACTTGTGTCATTCACATACAAAGCAGTCCCTGCAAAACGCATATATGCAAAGTGAGTTTCATTTCATATCAGTTCACTGATCACCTAAAGAGCTTATTTTTCATGTTTGGTTGCCGAGAAAATTCAAAGCGAGCGAAAGAAAATAGAAATGAAAATTTCAAAAGGTCCATTGCCTGGTAAAAGACAAAAAAATAGAGAAAGCAAGATTTGAGGTATAAACAAATACGAAAAAAGAACTCCAAACAGACAAAAAAAAAAAAAAAAAGATACTAAGTTGCTTTTCCTCGAGATATATGTTTTTCTCACCAGCCAAACGGGAATGAACAATTCAAACATAGATTTTCAAACTACACAAATGCTTTTGAAGAAAGAAGCTGTGTTGCAGAGTCACTCACCGAGCAAACAAAAGAGAAATAACAACGAAATGATCTGATTTAGATCCAAAAATGAAGTTCAAAAGCTGTCTCAGTTAGAATAAGTACACGTTGATTTGACGAAATTTAGCTTTAAAAAGAAGTGTAGAGAGAAAATATCTCCAACTGTGGAGACTGTGAGAAAGAAAGAAAATGACAGAGCGTGTACAGTTAGGACAAAGAGGGAAAGACGGGGGAGGAGAGATGGCAATTGGCAAGTGAAAGGCCGCCAAAGAAACCTTTATATAAACCTTTAAAATCAACCATCCAATTATTCAAATTTAATAGATTTATTTCATAATTTTAAAACTCTTCTTTAAAAAATCAAAATTATTGAGAAAAAAGTGATAATATTAATGCAGTTAAATTAAAACTATTTTTGATAGTCTAGTAATTTGATAGGTTTTTAGGTGTATTATTTAAGAGATTATAAGTTTAAATTTTTTCTTAGATGTTAATAGAGATAGTTATCAAAACTCTTATTTGATTAATAATTTAAATTTTTTAAAAGATTAATTAAGGTACACATAAATTAATATGAACACTTTGATCATTAAATATATATGCGCTTAAATTGAAAGCAAATACCAGGAAAGGCGAAATTCTATTCTATTATATTCTTAAAATGGTTAAACTATAAAAGTAGAGTTTTAATAGATATTTTGACGTTCATGGAGGGGAATAAATTAAAAATTGAATAGAAATGAGGGGTCCACGTGTAAGATTTTGTCGTCGGAATCTCTACAACTATAGCAACTTTTTGATTCTTTTGGCTTATGTATATCAATGCTTTTAGGATTTTTGAATTAAATTTCCAACAAATTAAGTAATTAGTTTTTTACCTTTTTTATTTATTTCTAAAATATGTTTGATAAATTATATAAATCTTTGTTGCTTTCGGCACTATGTCTCCATGTGCACATAATTGCATAATTGAAAAAAAAGACAATAATATAAAAAAAAATTAAGAATTTTTGTCTAATACATGATAAATCCTGGAATATATTACAGTTAAAAATATGCGTTATATTGGATCGGGTTCTGGAACAAGCATGGTGACTGGGTGAAACAGCTGGAAATGGAAGCGAAGGCGAACACAGTGAGTGAACTGTACTTATAAATTAATTAATTAGTTTTCTAAAATAAATGAAAGGTATCGATTGAAGCTTCGTGTCACTCGTGTGATGGGCCTGATGGCCATGTGCTGTTCTACACTACTTCGCATCCATGTATGTCTACTTATCAGTTATCACAAACCTCTCACGTGCACAACGCTTGTGAAATTTCATGTAACATCTTCAATCATTTCGCAATTCGTTGAAAAAGGATAAAATAAAAAAAATAAAAATTATTTTCATTTATAATTTTTTTTTTAAAAGAAACACCAATCATACAAAATTATTAAATAAAAATAAAATAATATTTTCAACAATCACTAAGTATTCACATTATACAAACTTTTAACCATTATTGAGTAACTTGATGATAAAAAAACAAAAAGAATCTAACATGATCTCTTAAGTTCGAGTTTTCTTAATGGTAAAAGAGTAAGAGAATAATCTATCATAGTCTCTCGAGTTTAAGTCCTCACAGTTAGGGGTGTTAAAAAAAATACAAAAATCGAATCGAACTTAACTGAAAAACTGGTTAACTGAAAAAACAGTTCAGTTACGGTTCAAAGAATTCAAAAAACCAGATTTTAGATTCAATTTTTGGTTCGGGTAAAAATGAAAACCGATTTACTAATATGTATATAAAATAAATAATAATAATAATAATCTTAATCCCTAAATTTGTACAATTTCTTTTGTTGTTTTCCATTAGAACTTATTTAGTTACTTTGTTGTTTTATTATGGACATTTCATTACAGACTTTTATTTTTGTTTAATTTCGGACTTTTATTTGTATAAATTTTTAATGTATTGTTAGAGTATCTCTGATGTTCTTTATTTTAAAAAGTATCTTTCATATAAATAAAGAGTATCTTCATTAGTTTCTAAATATAAAGAACAAAATTTGTATTCAAATCCAATAGACTCTTTAAATTTAATGAAAATGCTCTTTATTTTTAAGAAAAAAACTTGATGGGAGAGAGAATTAATAAATAAAATGCATGAAAACTTATAGTTTATTTATTAAAATTAGGATAGAGAGTGAAATTTGACTCTTTAGATGTGAAGAATCAAACTCACTCTTTAATTTACATTTAAAAGATAAAAAGTTGGTTAGACTTTTGTTTTTATGGATAAACTCTTTATAATAAAGAGTTTGGGTCAGTGGTAGATCTAGGAATTTCCCTCAATAGGGGCAAAATATAAACAAAAAAAAATTAAAACCAATCTAACTACACCTTTTTTTTTTCATTACAATGAGCTTCAATGAAAAGTTATAAAATACAAATAAATATCTTTAAAAAACATAATTTTTGTAAAAATAGAACAATTTTTCTACAATTGTCCTTGACTAGTTTTCCTATTGTGAAAATGTTGGATAATCATCTCATTGTCAATTATATAAAATACATCTTTCTCAATATAGATGACCAAGCAATCATTCATCCATTGATTTCTCATTCGATTGCATAACCGATTTTTCACAAGATTCATTGTAAAAAAAACTCTTTCAACAGTCACAGTCGCAACTGATAAAACCAATGCAACTTTCACAAGCTTATACACCAACGTATGCAAAATTTCTTTTTTAAACTGAACTAAATTCTTAACAAAATCACAAATTCTTTGTAACTTAGCAAATTTATCACAAAAAACGTATGTCAATAACATAAATCTCAATCTGGTTCTCATGTACCATCAACTCAAGTGCAGAAAAATCAAATGGATAAAATTGACCAAACCCATTTCCTTTTCCTTTGCTTCTTCTTCCTTTCTTCTTCATGGGTTTTTGTCTCTTTTTCTTCATTTTTGACAAACAACCCAATTTATATATAAAACAATTTCTTTGAATTATGAAACTACCTCAAGATTCTCTTATTCTCACCATGACCTCGCCACATTAGCTTTTTGATGTAAAAATGCCTAGATTTCTCCCCTCGGTTAAATGCAAACCCAACAGTTCTTATTATTTTCATTTTCACTCCTAATAAAACTTTTAAAAACTAACATATCCTCTTGCATAAAAATAAAAATCACAAAAAATATGAAATATATATACTAGGATTAAAAATAGGATTTTACAAAAATAAAATCCAAACTAACCGTGGGAGCTGTTCCTAAAATCTCATAATTCTATAAGTGTAAAATTTAAATAAATATAAGATATTGACTGTTTTTTAAAAGTTGAGTGGGGACTCTAGTCCCCACAAGTCATTAATTGGATCCGCCACTAGTTTGGGTCATATAAAAAGTCATTTGAAGATGCTCTTAGTTGTGGTCAATGGATATGTATGAATGCTTAATTTTTATTTGGATATGTATTGTTGATGTTTACAATTTAATTTAGGAAAAAAAAAAAAAAGTTTTATCCAATAAAAAAGGAAAAACCGATTAATCGGTTTTTTCGAACCAATTTTCCCCCCAAACCGATTCGGTTCAAAAAGATAGTTAACTGCTTTTGAACACTCCTACTCACAGTTGTTAATAGGGTGACTACTTATAGTTTGAAGATCTCGTAGAATTAGTTGAGTTACGTGTTTGAACAATTTAATCATTTAAAAAAAAATTAAAATAAAATTTGAATAATTAACAAGAAGTGGTCTTTAAAAAACATACCTGACTGATTTATTAATATGATTTAAGGAATGAATAATTATTGGTCTAATCAGTCGCTTTCTGGTCTTAAATTTTGAAAGCAGGAAATGGCAATCCGACAAATTAGAAGACCAATTCATTTCATGCATTTTAAGCGTTAAACGTAAGTGCAGTCGTAATTGCTTTCTCAATAACATATAGTGACCAAGTTTTTTTCGGAAGTTAATGCCTGTCGCCATGTCATTAATTAAATAATTTAAACGTAAGTGCAGTCGTAATTCCTTATTAAAAAAATTTATATTATTCAAAGTCTGCTTAATTTCCAAAACTAAGGTATATTTTAATATTTAAGTGAATGTGATTAGATATTGTAACTGATTGGAGATAACATCAAAGAAACATTTTCGGTTGTAGTCAACTGAAAAAAAAAAAAAAAAAAAAAAAGTAATTTTTTGTTTTAAATTCAAAGCAAAAGTTCACTTTTACTTTTTAGAAAAGTGTCGTTCATAAATTAAAATTAATCTTTGAATGTGATAATAAAATTCTCGGTCTCAATGATCTTGCCCCCCACCTCAAGGATTTTCCCTCGCTTTTTCTCTAACCAAACATCATAATTCTAATTAAAACTCTGCCAAAATTGGAATTAAAGATCCTAAGAGTTAACGGGATTGTTCTGGTAGTTAAGGAGATTTATTCTCTTACTTGATTTTTTGAATTCGAACATTGAATCTATTCAACAAGCTTTCAGTTTTCTAATATAAACTGGCTTGAACATCAAGTAAAAAAAAAAAAAAAAAAAAAATCCCAGAAGTTTATTAGCTTTTGGTTTTTCTAATATAAAGACAATTAGAAAACATTAATCCCACTAAGAAGATGGGGGATGTGGAAGGAGTACGTGCTGGTGATGATAACCTGCATAAAAAAAAGGAAACATTTGAGAGGTTATTAACATGATAAAAGCGAATTAAACCGTACGGGTGGTGGTAGGTTTGCTGTATAAAATGAGCACTATTGTTTGTAATTATGGCCAACAAGCCATAATTACCGACCACGACCACCTTAATCTTCCACACTTTTTGTTTTTAAATTTACGCACAATGGCAGATCACATCATCTCTCTTGGTATTCTTCTTCCCCACCTTCACATTAAGTTAATATTAACAATTCTTGATTAATTAGTCACCATTTGATGATTTGATAGTAAAAAAATGAAATAAGATTTTATGAGTCTTTGAGTTTGAGTTCCCCTAATAGGGATAGCCATGGATGGATTCAACCTTTCAATTTTTTTTTTTTAAATACTAATATGCATAATTTTTAGATTTTAGTCCACCATAACGAAAATATTAATGTGTAATTAGTTTTTATTTTGGCCTACTCTAATAGAAATTTCTAGATCTACTATTAGGGATAGCCACTAGTTAATTGAGGTGTACGCAAGTTAACTGGAACTCTCCATCACAACAACAACCAAAAAAAAAATAAAAAAAA